TCTAATGCTTTTATTCTACTATTTGTAATTCATCTACAACAAAGGTAATCCCTTGTTTTCCCAGTTCTACTTGTAACTCATCTAGTACTTTCAATAAAATGGATCTATTTTGGCATAAAAGGTTAGGCCATATGCCATTTCATAAGCTAAAATCTATTCCATGTTTATCTACTCGAGTATCTTCTAAGCAATCATTTGTATGTTCTAGTTGCCCTATGGCTAGGCAACAAAGACTACCTTTTCTATGATAGTCATAATCATGAGCTTTTCAGTTAGTCCATATAGATATATGGGGACCTTACCACACTAATACATACAATGGTTTCAGATATTTCATTACTTTGGTTGATGATTTTACTAGAATCACATGGACACACTTATTATCTTCCAAAGGCAATGCCCTTTTTATAATCAAAGCTTTCACTATGATGGTCAAAGTCCATTTCAAATTTTTTGTTCAATCTTTTAGATCAGACAATGCTTTTGAATTAGGTAGTAGTTCAGAGGCTATATACTTCTTTGCTGATAATGGAATTTTATACCAAATCACTATACCTCACACCCCACAATAAAATGGTGTGGTCGAAAGGAAATACAAACATCTTTTGAAAACTTCCAGAGTCCTTTTGTTTCAATCTAAACTCCCTACCAAATATTTGGGTGAATGTGTGTTAACTGCAACCTACATTGTCAATAGACTACCTTCATCTATTTTAACTAATGCTACTCCTTTTGAAAAACTGCATGGAACTTCTCCTACATATGATCACCTAAAATTATTTGATTGTCTTTGTTTTGCAACTACCCATAAATTTAGAAAAGACAAATTCCAGTCTAGGGCTGTTGCCTATGTTTTCCTGGGTTATCCCTTTGGGAAAAAGGGATATAAATCTTAATCTCTCTACTCATTCTGTATTTCTTTTCAGAGATGTAGTTTTCCATGAACAAATATTTCCCTATTCCTCTGCCCCATCTTCTTCTGTTTTCCCTTTTTATTCTGATTCCTTTGAAGATCCTCCTTCATTTCACTCTTCTACTGCTCATTTACTAACTCCTCCTGATGATATTTCTGTTGTACCTCATGAATCACATCCTGATCCTTCTACTTCTTCCTCCTACCATCAAGAACCACATGTTATACCTGTTTCTTCCTCTGTCTCTCCTCCTCTTAATGCTCATGTTCCTCTTTCTAACACCTTTCTTGTTAGGCATTCTACCAGGGTTTCCAACCCTTTTTCCTACTTGTCAGATTATGTTTGTTCTTCTGTTCTTTCTGCCAATACTGTCTTTATAAATTCCAAGGTTTCCACTACTGAGCTACAGTTGCAGGAACCTCAATATTATCAGCAGGCTACCTCACATCCTGCTTGGCAAGAAGCCATGCTAAAAGAGTTTCAAGCTCTTGAATCTAACCACACTTGGGATATTGTTCCTCTCTCCCCTCACAAGAAATCCATTCCTTATAAGTGGGTGTACAAGATTAAATAGAAATCTGATAGCACTGCTGAAAGATACAAAGCCAGATTAGTCATAAAGGGTGACATACAAAAGGAAGGGATAGATTATAATGAGATTTTTTCCCTAGTTGTTAAATTCACCACTATCAAGTACCTACTCTCTCTCTTGCTACTAAAAGGGGTGGACTGTTTAACAACTAGATGTCAACAATGCTTTTCTTCATGGTAATCTCCATGAAGAAGTTTCTATGAGGGTGCCTCCTGGTCTAGTGGTTTCTAGTCATTCTTCTTCCTCTTCTCCACTAGTTTGCAAACTCAAGAAGTCTCTTTATGGTCTCAAACAGGCCTCCAGACAGTAGTTCTCTAAATTGTCTGAAGCTTTGTGTTCCAGAGGTTATATTTCCAGCAAAAATAATTATTCACTGTTCACAAAGTCCTCTGGTGGCTCCCTGACTGTCTTAGCAGTGTATGTGGATGACATTTTATTGGCATGAGATGATCATTCTGAATTGGATGCTCTTAAGGATTTTTTGGATGCTACTTTCAAAAACAAAGACTTAGGTTGTGTTCACTATTTCTTGGGTTTGGAAGTTCTCCAACAACCCCAAGGTTTCTTGATGTGTCAACACAAATTTACAAATGATCTATTGGAGGAGATTCACTGTGATCATTTCACTCATGTCAATACTTCTCTTGACCATTCCATCAAACTATCTTTTGATATGGGGGAGCCCATTTCTAATCCTAGCATCTACAGAAGGATTGTGGGAAATCTCAATTTCTTATGCCACACAAGGCCTGATATTGCATACTCAGTCCAACACCTTAGTCAGTTTCTTCAAGCTCCTCAAGTTCCTCACATGCTGGCTGCTATACATGTTTTGAGGTATCTGATGAATGCTCCTGATTTGGGTATTTTCCTTCCTAAGTCTAATGATCTTTTTCTCCTAGCTTACTCTGATTCTGACTGGGCCACTTGTGCCCAGACTCGAAGGTCTGTAACTGGATATTACATTACCTTAGGGGGTTGTCCTATCTCTTGAAAAAGCAAGAAACAGCCTACTATATCTCTCTCATCTGCTGAGGCAGAGTATAGAGCTCTACGCAAAGTGGTTGCTGAGATTTCATGGCTTGTTCGACTGCTGGCTGATCTTGGGTTGGTTATTTCCAGTCCTGTTCCTGTGTTTTGTGATAGCCAAGCTGCTTTGCATATAGCCAAGAATCGAGTATTCCATGAACGCACTAAACACATTGAAGTTGATTGCTACTATGTTCGGGATAGCCTACAATCTGGTCTCATCACTTTACATCATGTTTCTTCTTCTGCTCAACTTGCTAACATTCTCACTAAGTCCCTTACATGCACCACTCATCATCATCTGCTTGGCAAGCTTGGAGTGTCAACACCCTCAAGCTTGAGTGAGGGTGTTGAGCTGAATAGAGCACATCTGAAGAGAGGCCCAATGGTTGATAAGTAGTACTGGTTCCAATATGTACAACTGGCCCATTAGTATATTATGCCCATTTTATAGCATGGGTGATTTATTAATTTTGGTAACAGATTCATTTTACACGGATGATGAAATAAAAAAGTATTCCTCTTCTTCTCTCTCGTCTCACCCGATCTAGGGGTTTCTTTCTCATCATTTCTTTCAATTTCTGCAAATAATCATCTTAACAAAAGAAAACTAAACTATTATAGTGAAATGTTGTTATAAAGGATGATTGTTATAGAGAGGTTTGACTGTACTAAATTCAGTCGGTATTTTTCGACCGAAGTTAGTCGGTATTTTTATTATGTAATTAAAAAATACATTGTTTGGGAATCGAACTGGGGGTCTGTACTTTGGCAGGATACTATTCTACCACTAAAGTATTAGTACATTTTGGTTTAAGACTTTATTTTATTTTATTTCTACTCTTTAATTATATTTTTCTGCGAAAATAACCGACCGATTTTGATCGATTTTATTAGAATATAAAATTACCTACCGAAATCGGTTGATTTTTTTTTAAAATGAACGATCGATTTCGGTCGGTTTTTTGAATATTAATTTTAATTTATTTTACATGAAAAATCGACCAAAGTTGGTCGGTTTCTTAAAAAATAAATTTCGCGGGACGCGAAAATAGTTTTTCGCATTTTTGCGCCAAAAACCCGACCGAAGTTGGTCGGTTTCATAAAAAAAAAATATTTTGAAAAACTGACCGACCAAAGTGAGTCGGTCGGCCGCTGTCGGTTTTGGCCAAATTTCTAATAGTGTCACATGAATTTAGTAATATTTGCCTAGATCTTATATTTGTACAAAAAATTGATTAAATATAGAAAAATATTAGCTCGAAACTCAGTTATTGATTCGATTATTATTATATATTAATTTAATATTATTATAAGAACTTATAAAGTTAAATTCCTAGATTCGCCTTTGGCGACGAGTACAAGTTAAAAAAATCTATTGATCAATAGTAATCATTACGGCTTTGATTTTAAGTTTTGGTCCTTACCGTGTGCTTAAAAAATATCTATCTTGCTCACAGAATGACCAAGAAAGCCGTGTTTATGATCTTGTTGTAGTGTCTTATAGGCAACAATTAATCATACCAAAATTAGAATTGCTCAATTTGATCCAACTTGACGAAACAGTCCAATCAATTATCAAGAAAATGAAGACAGCAATGAGATTAAGTGGAAGAAGCATCAAAATGTTCTTATCATGAATAGAGTATGTTTTCTTGTCCTAATTAATTCGTTGTTATTGATTTTTGGGGAACTTTGTTATATTATTAGTGCACATAAGCTGCTTCATAAGACTTGTACACCACGTTAATCAACTCAACCTTACCCTATTTAGACAAAGACTTGCGGGAATGTTTACACCAAACCATATTAGCTATTTAATAAAGTGAGATTATGTACTAGTAATTAACTATGAATAAGTGCAAGAAACCTATATACAAGCACATATTATGTATCTATTCGCTCAGTGTAACTACGGGGCGCGGATAAATTTTCAACCCCCACCCCTTGTTTTTCAACTTACAACATAGGTTTTAATATAGGTAACTGTTCGTGATACATGGAATTAGTAACCTAATAAAATATGAAATAAATTATATTTTTTACTACGCTTTATTAAAATACACTGATAGTATAGAAATTCTATACACATGAATATATGCGTAAATTCACATCAATTGTCACGAATTATCATTAGTAGATTCAGTAACCATCTCAAGAGGTAGATTTAATGAATTAGACTCACTAATATTATACATTATCATAGTGGATGAGGAATTAACGCCTAGTACATATATGTAAAGACAAAAAAAATGATCCAATTTAATTTACATATAGTTCGAATTAAAGATAATGTGTACGAATATACTTTGATTCGGGATTTTTTACACAAACAGTCGGTCAAACTCAATATTTATTTTTTTTAGCCGGTATACATAGATTACATATTGATCATACACAATTATATATATATTATACATGGACTCTCTCTCTCTCNTATCCCTATAAATATCTCAACAAAGTAGTAGCTTTAGTTCATTAGTTGTTTGTGCTTCACTAGTCATCTAAACAAAACCAAACACCTTTCCTTTGGCCTCTCCTCCTTTTATCTTTTATATCAATCCTCATCTTCAATAACACCACTCTCAAAACAAATGAGAAACTTATTCCCCATATTTATGTTAATCACCAATCTAGCATTCAACGACAACAACAACAGTAATAATATCATCAACACGACCTGCAGAGCCACCACAAACTACCCCTTGTGCCTCACCACCCTCCACTCTGATCCCCGTACCTCCGAGGCCGAGGGGGCGGACCTCACCACCCTCGGCCTCGTCATGGTAGATGCGGTAAAATTAAAGTCCATCGAAATAATGAAAAGTATAAAAAAACTCGAAAAATCGAACCCCGAGTTGAGACTACCTCTTAGCCAATGTTACATAGTGTATTATGCTGTTCTACATGCTGATGTAACTGTTGCTGTTGAAGCTTTAAAAAGAGGAGTCCCTAAATTTGCTGAAAATGGAATGGTTGATGTTGCTGTAGAAGCAGAAACTTGTGAGTTTAGTTTTAAGTATAATGGATTGGTTTCTCCAGTTTCTGATATGAATAAGGAGATTATTGAACTGTCTTCTGTGGCTAAATCTATTATTAGAATGCTATTATGAGGAAATTAAAGAACCAAAGATACAAGGTTCTGGTTATGTTAGTTTATTAGTGCTGTAATAGGATTTTTATATTCCTGTGTTTTTTTTGCTTTTTTTATTTCATTTGGGTGCTTGTGTGTATATGTGAAAATGAGTGTGAATTATGTCAAACATAAACATAGATTAGAAATTACTCCTGCATAATTATGTACAGTTTTTTATATTTAAGTGTATTTATCTCTTTTCTTTGAGTGTGTGGGTGTGCGTAAGCGAGTGTGATCTTTATTATACTTAGAAATTTAGAATTTAAGAGGGGAGCTTTGGAGCAACTATAAAGTAGTCTTCATATAACCTACAGGTCTCGGGTTCGAGCTGTAAAATCAGTCACTGATACTTTCATCAAGCTAGGTTGCTTATATTATACCCCAAGAGGTGCGGCTTTTGCCCTGCGTGAATGCATAATGCTTGTGCACCGGGCTCAAGCTGCCCTTTTTAGAGATATAGAATTTAATTAACTTTTATATATATTGATAATATAAAAATATATAAAATTGGAATAACTAACCTGAAAAAAAGGTACAGGCTACTATTACAACAAATTATAAATACACTAGTAGTACAAATATTACTTTGCATTATCGGTACATATAAGCTAAATCGTTCAAAAATTACTAATTGACGTAGAGTATATGTGTCTGTTCAAGTGTATTACTTATGGACGTATGGTTTTAATATTTTACACTTATTTGTTTCGAGAGGAACGAAAAAGGAAAGAAAAGAAAGGGAATGATGGCATATGAGAACAATATTATGGTGAATCACCAACAAAGGTTGTTATAGATTGATAAATACTTTTTTAATCCTAGAGGTTCTTGGTTTCGAGCCTTGGGTTTTAAGCCGCCTTCGTTATGGAGCACTTTTACCTCCCAATGTGAACACTTTTCGGCACGTATTTTGATTTAATCGGGTCACAATACCAATACTGACTACCGAGTGAAAGAATAAAAAAAAGATCATGGTGAATCGCGTAAAATAGTACGGGCTAGCCAGTTTTCGGACTGGTAATTGAAAAATAGCCAGCGTTTGCAAAGTCATTGAAAAATAGCCACTATTTTGCTGCAACACGGACTGGTCCAGCATAATATACTGGATATTGGTGCACTTGTGTATGAACTTCCAGCATATTATGCTGGAACTCCAACACGCGGAAAGTTCCAGCATAATATACTGGAGATTGGAGCACATGTGTATGGACTTCCAGCATATCATATTATGCTGAACCAGTATATTATACTGGAACTCCAGTATATTATGCTGGAATATTTTTCTGATTTTGAATAGTGTTTTCGTTCAGATTTATCTTTACATGAAAAATGACTAAATTTTGATTACTTTTGAAACTATGACTATTTTTTAATTACTACTTATAAATGCTATTTTTGAATTTCTCCCGTGAATCGCATCGCCTTAAAACTATATAGACGGAGTATATATCTTTGTTTGTGCGCCACTTATTTTGTCAATGTTTCAACTATTAAAAAGAAAGTAACAAAAATGAAACTTATCGTCACAACAAACATTAAATACTCTATCGGGCCCTATCTCAAAGATTTGGACCTAATTCATATCTTATTTTTTGGTTTAATCATTCGGTAGTTAGAGGCTATAGGTATGACTAATTTGAATTCGCACCACTAAGTAAAGGATAAAACGTTATCTATTAGAAGTTCTCATTCACAGGGTTCGAATCCAAAACTCTAGTTAAAAATAAAGATATCAACTATCCTATATGCTGAAAATAATTAATTTTTGACCCGTAGTTGAAGTTTAATGCTACTAAAAATTTATTCTTGCTTTTCTGATGATGGTTTAGTTGGTGCGTCGACATAAAGGAAATATTCTACGAGGTGATGGTTTGCTTTCACTTCTTTTTTCTTTTCTTCAAAGAGTATCTAAACCACTTGCGCTATCTCGTTTAGGAAGAAAAAAACAGCTTAAATTGGATTTTAATTTATAACAATAGTATTCGACTTAATTTTTGAACATATTAATTCTGTAATGATAAAGTTATTTCTGTGTGACGTATAGGTCATGAGTCTTTCTCGGACCTATACATTGGGTTAGGTTGTCTACATCATATTCTTGAGGAGCGACCCTTTCTCGGACCTTGCGTGAACGCGAGATTCCGCGTGCATCGAACTATCCCTTAATGGTATAGGTGCTTAATCATTTTATCCACCAAAGTAGCTGATGAAAAGAAATCATTTAATATTTTTGTCTATGTTACAATTTGAATTCTGTCAAATAAAAATTATGTTAGCCTGTAGTTGTCATCAAAACTTAAAACCGATTTTCATTTTTGTTTCTTCAAAGATAACTCTGAGCTTGTCAATTTTCTGTGCCATTTCAACTTTATTGGATGTCTCCAAGATTAATCTTAAATCTACTAGGAATAGGATCTGCAAAGATCTTCCGCTATTTTCTTTGAATTTAACAAGTTCGAGAATTAAAATTTAACCTTTGCTTCGAGCTTGCATATGAATGTACGCTTTCCCTTAATAAAACTAATATGATTGAACAAAAGAAAATTAAAAATCAAAACCTTACACAATAAAATAATACTAAAATTTGAGATGTTAAATTAATATTTGCTGGATCTACCAAATTTTGCGAATCTTTGCAAAAGGCCAGGGAGGGGATAATAGTATTATTGAGATTTACCGGTACTCAAATGATCACATCAAATCAATGAAGACAAAATATATAATGCTTATATGATGATAAGTTTTTAATTTGGAGTTTTTACTGCTAATATTAAATTATTTGAATTGATTTAAATATTGAGTGTCCTAAATATTTAACATGTGATAGTATCTCATTGCATAAATATGTAACGAATATCCTGTTTAACATATGATAATTGTGAAAGAAAGCATTGAAACAACGATAAAGTTATCTCTGTATGACCTATATATTATGGATTCGAACCGTAAAATTACTTATAAGAGTATAGCCCTTTTTCTGAATTGTATATGAGCACGGGATGTTTTAGAAGGAAGAATAAAGTCGTGAGATTCGCAAAAAAAAGTGACTTTTTTCCTATTCGTCTTCTTCCTTTAGGACTGTCTGTAAAGTGGAAGTGACGTTTAGATAAATATGATTCGTATCTAGTTTTAGACTAAATAAATCTCCAGTGAACACATTTTTTTTGTGGTAAGTTAACATATAAAAATGCATACCATAGTTATTTTATTAGGTAATCATGGTTATGCTTTAAGGTTGTGTAGTAATATGGAAAGTTAGAAGAAAAGCAAAACTGATGTAGTTGTTTTGCCTAAAGATGAATGATGATCTGTACCCCATTATCTCCAAAAAGGAAAGAAAAATAAAGCGAGAACAAGAATATTAGTATGTATTAAAAAAATAGAAGCATATTCTTATCTTTAAAGTTTAAACTTTAAACTAAGAGAATAGGGAAATTTGCAATTGTAGTACTTGAAATATAAGCAAATTATGATATTGGGCACTGTGATACATAATTAAGCATATTTTACCTTCAACTAACTGAAAGGTGCACTTACCTTCAAAATCGAAAAACAATTAAATTTGTAAGTGTTTTTAAGGATATACGGATTAATTTGATACAAAATGATAAATTGAGTTAGAATAGACAAGTAAAGATATAGTAAATTCAAACCACGCGAGTAGGATGATTCCAGACTTAGTGAAGCATTCACCCTCAATCGGAGCTCACAGTGGACAATTTTGATGAACGAGAGAAAAAGCTTACAATAATAGTGAAAATATTAGTATATTGCTTTGGAATGCATCTTACAATGTGTCTAATGAATTATCAGACCCCCCTTCTGTTTAACTGATTATTGGTTCTTCATCGATACGTACCGAGATCCATGCCGTGATATCCAGTCGGTCGAAGATATTACGGCCTTTTGTTGGTAGGGCTTGATTGCCCGACAATGTTCTCCGAAGTCTTTCAGGATTTGGATCGATCTCGAATCATAACCTTGATATTCTAGAGGGCAGGCATCATGCCCCCGGATTCTGACTCGATGAGACCTTTGCTTCGATTCCGATCCTTCGCAATCATATCTCGAGCTAGTTTTATCCTATTGGAGGTCGGATTATATCATGAGCTCGGTTTTTACCCGTATACAGATAGTCTTCTCGTTTCTCAGAGAGCAAGCTGACGAGAAACGACATGAGCACCACGATTCCTTCTTCAATACGCCGTGACAGAAATGCAAAAAGCCCGAAACGTCTCGTCAGTCATGTTATAATGGCCTTAAATGCAAGTGACTCATCGGTTGGCTGTTCTTGGACGCGAAGCGTCGCGAGGCCCCTATAAATACCTCCTTCTTTGTTCTTTTTTTACTTTACGTTCAAACCTCTACCCTCGTGCCTTTAGAAATTCAGTACCATCTTTTACACTCTAACATTTTTACCTCCGTTACTCAAGTACGTTGCAGAATTTTACTCGTCTTCTACTCAAGCCAACACATCTAAGCTGTCAACTTTCACCCTTTCTCTGTCTTTTTCAAGTTTTTCCCATACAACAATGGCCAAAACCTCCAAATCTGTTCACCAAAAGGTTGCTTCTACCTCCCAAACGACTGTCGGAACCAACGAAACCACTTCCAATGTGGTCGACCTCGGGAGATCTGCTGTTAACATGCTTACCGATAAACCGGCTCCTGAGCCTCCCTTGAAGATATTCATTCCCGGGGGTTGTTTGATCGCTGACGACTTCAAGGTTGAGAAGCCCTCTTCGGTGCAGGGTTGGCGTGAGGAGGCATCGAGATATATTTGCTCGATTATCAAAGATGATCTCTCCTTAGTCCGAAAAGACTGCAACTGGGCCGAAAATGATATAGTGGTCCCCAACTCTGAGGAGGCCATTACCACCCACGTTGACGGATACCTAAGTGTCTACACTTATCTCTTTATGCTGGGCACGGTGGATCCTGTCATTATAGATTTTTGTAAGAGGTACGAGGTATGTCTCGGCCATATCCACCCATCGTTATGGAAGATCGTAATCCTCATTCGATTTTTTGTGAACAAGATCGACTCATGTCAGTTCACCGTAGATCATCTGCTCCGTCTGTACAGTCCCCAAATCTTCCGAGGGGGACTAATAAAGCTCGTGCGTTGGGCTAGTAAGGCCTAATTTTCAAGCATCGATGAAGACCAGGATCAAGGTTGGTAGGGACCTCAGACTTGATTCCGGGCG